CCCTGGCCAGCCCAGCCTGATTGACCCCAATCAGGGCAGCACAGGCCTGACCGCACCCATGCACAAATTCGTGCACTGGGCCTCTAGTACAAAATAATATGGTAACATGTTAGACAAGAAGGCAAGAGATTTGGAAGGCTTATTATGGAGAGAGAAGTTGAAATGGAATAAACATACTGTTCTTGAGATCATTGAATACTTTACTTATTCTCTACTCAACATATTGTAACATTTCAACTATATATTTAGCCATAAAGGGTAGAAGTGCAGTTACTCAGAGCTCTGTCTGCAAGCCTCTGCTCATCTCATAGTCCCCATCCTTCAGCTCTTCATCCATGTGGCTACTGTTAAGATAGATGTGAGTTGTGTAGGTGCACCCACCTGACCACATCTCTGCTCAATGGCAGCAGTCTGAATGAAAGAGAATAAGTCACACTTAATTGTTTTTTATTTTTAAAAAGAAGGGGAAGATCTAGATTGCTCTAAGTCCCTTCCTGCTCTAATATTCCAGGAACTATAAAATATTTATAACAGCTCAATAAGTACTTTCAGAATGTCAAAAGGCTGGTGTAGACCAGAGTAAATATCTATGTCAATTAGCCTAGAAATAAAAATAATTTTAAATGAATAATAGCAGTGGTATGCCAGGAGTAGCTGATGGTGTTGCCTACCATAGATTATGGAAAGTGTGTGTGTGTGTGTGTGTGTGTGTGTGTGTGTGTGTGTATTTAGGAAACAAAATTTTGGTGGAAAGAGTACAGACTTATGAATGAGCCAAATCTGCTTTCAAGAGCTAGTTCTGCTACTTAGTTGTGTGACGTTAGGCAAGTTAACACTTCTGCACCTCATTGAATTAATCTCTGCATTGGGAACAATAATAATCACCTTGTATGATTGCTATAAACGTTAATATGAAAAGCAATTATAATAGCATATAGTTAATATATTTTAGTAGGTGCTTGTATAATAAATGCTAGCACTTTTCTCCCTAATTTCTCCTTAAAAAGAGATAGGAAGTAAGGACTTAAGGACATTTAAAATTCTCAGACTTGTAATAGCATCATAGTTCTATTAGATAGTTAAGATTATGTAGAAGTCTTTTTTTTTTAAGAAGTCCCACATTTTAATCATTTATTTTTTCAAAGTAATATTATAACATTATATTTGGAGGATAGAATTTTAAAAATCATATAAGATTCATCACTTAATTAAACCAAGTTTTATTAATTTAATGCATTTATTTACAGTTATTTATTTATATACGTCTAAATATAACATGTATAAGTATATATACTTTCTTAACATAAATTAAATGAATTAAAACTTTACTGATTCCCTTAATAATATTTTATTGACATCTCACATCAAATCTGCCAAATCTTAAGTGGTTGCAGAGCACTTTATTTTATGGAAATGTCTTAAGTTATTGAACTATCTCCTAGACATTTAGGTTGCTTTGATTTGCGGGATTACAAGTAAGGAAGCGGGGGGCGTCAGTGTGCACAAATCTCTGTAGATGTTGACGGGTTGAATTACTACAAATAGGTTTCTAGTAATAGCACATTTTGAATTGGGGGGGGGGGGGGAACATCCTGTTCCGAGAGTACGACCCCAGCAGTAATGTACAAGATAAGGGCCCCTCATTAGTTTAAGGGACTGGCTGGGGTAAGC